CTCAGTACTCAAATTAAAGCTAGCGACGAGCCGCATCTAAATAGTTGCAGAAGCTAGTTCAATGTTTGACACCTCAAAATCGGCTTCTAAATAGGTCTTTTTGCCCTCCAAAGTTCGTGAACACAGCTTGTTCCAGTTTTTCAGGCCAGTTTTAGTTTTTTGACTCCTCATATCAACTCAGAATTGAGTGATTCTTTTTGCGTTTGAAAGCTTGAGTCAATGCCATTCTTGAGAAAAATTATCAAAAAATTGGAACAAGTTATTCCAGAGGAAAGTTGGAGAGAAAGTTGTTGGTATATCCTGCTTGACAGTTGTTTCTCATCATTATCTTTAATGCTATTGTGATCTTCACTTATATCTTGCTGTCCAGAGCTACTTCATATCCTTTATTGATGCTAGTTGTGCTACACCTGACCTCATTAGTGTTCTAGGCTCGCGTCTCTAGTACGGTCTAGCCTAGGACCAGCATAGTACCGTCGCTGAGCGTTTATTCAACATTGCATCTCTGAATTGATTATTGCTAATCTTTTGCTACCCAAACTCCACATATTTCTACATCGTGTATATGTACGTTCCCCTTGCAATCGCTTTACTCAATCTTCGGAGTTATTTGACACCGCTGGTTGCCTGTCACCACCTGCTGCATGGTAAGAACTTGTAAGATATTGATATTTGCTATATACCGTGAGCGTTTTACCACCACATCCTAGTAGTTCATAGGAACATTATTCTTGAATTTTGTTTCTTGTTTTCTACTAACTATGGCAGGTTCTGGAGTAGTTAGTTCTTGGGCTTCATCGATCGTGGGAGATTTGTCACCACCTAAGAAAATACAACAACCATCACAAGAGGAGCAACATCAGAATGCACATAATCAGGTTAATGTTTTCATGCCACCATTTATTGGTCGTTTGAGGCCTGATTTATATATTGAATGGGTACGAAATAAATGCTATATTTGCTTTCTGTAATTTTGATGAGCGTGGAAAATTTTAAGCTGCGGTTAGTACTTTCAGTAGCTTTGTTTTAGTTTGGTGGAGTGAGTATTGTCGGTTAAACCCTGATTTTATACCTACTACTTGAGATGATTTAAAACTTGTCATGAGAGATAGATTCATTGATGTTTATTATACTCGTGGCATGATTAAAAAATTACAACATTTAAAACAAGGCACTGACACGGTAACAAAATATTATGATGATTTTACAAACTACATTGTTGCACTCATTTTTAGTGGAAAGTGAAGAAGATTTTATGGATAGATTTGGGGAGGATTAAACCATGATATTCAAGAGATACTAATTCATGAAGAGTGTTATTCTATGAACCATTTGTTTCGTCTTGCTTGCAAAGCTGAACAGGAAATAAAACGACGTGTTGCCCACAAAGAGAACAAGCGCACGGTGCACATTCCACGTGTTGATACAGATGTTTCTTTAACTACTAGGCGTACTATGACAACCACATCTGTTGTTGCTATGACTACATCATCTCCACCATGTGACACACCACCATCGAGAGTGCCTACATCATCTGAGTTGATCATAAGAGGTAATGACAAAGGTACAGATTTTCCACTTTCACATGAGAATGATGCATGCCTAGTTAACTTGAATACATCATGTGTTGAGTTACCTATTGATTTGGGCACACCACCTATCTTAGAGAATTGTGTTACTGTCATGAATGCGTCATGTGATCAAACAACTGAAATACCAACAATTTCGAGTGCACCCATTGAATTAATTGTTGATGCAAAAGAACCAATGTTTAATCATTTTGATATGACCTCTAATCTTGGTGATGATTCTGTGACCAATGACTTATTGTATGTTTGCTTATTTAAGCATGTTGTAGCATGTAAATTTGATGCAAGTAAGGTTTATTCATCAATGTTAGGATGGTTTAATGATGAACATTGTCAACCTTTTGAAATGAATAAGAGCTTCACTTATATGTGCAAACTGAGTTGCAATATTTTCATGCCTTCTACTTCTTGTGATAATATTTTGGCTTCGAATTTTATGAACTATGAAGGTTACTCATGTATACATGTGTCATATGTGCAAAAACCAAGGGCAGTAAAAATGGATGACATATACATATACAACATGTACACCTTGTCTCTTTTGTTAGCCATATTTCAAACTAAGCAACGTTGTCAAGAAGGGGAGGATGATGAGGACATCACTACCTTGTATACGACCAAAAATATTGCATACATGTATATTTGTGAGGTGATTTCTAATGCAAACTATGCAATAATTTATTTATGTCATCCAGGACAAAAATACTTCACAAACTTTTGTGTCATGTCTAATTGCAGGAGTATGGGACATTTGTACAATCCAAATATGAAGATAAGGGGAAAAGAGATGTTTAGGTGCTGTTCAAAAAGTCCTCTCACGTCACTTTTGGGCCAAGAGAAGATAGAGTCCAAGTCTCACGCGTTTTGGATTCAGATTCGGACTGCACAGACATACCTGACTCAAAACGCCAAGAGCTCTTTCATATGGACTCTAAATTTGAGTTATCGACGAAACAATCTGACGCTGCAGCAGAATCCGAGTCAAACTACAAGTCCAAAGGTGTTGCATCACCTCCACTTGGGCCCATGAGCCTTGTACGACCTAGGGTTAGTTTTAGGCTGCCTTGGGACGCCCACCCACCTCCTTGCTCGCCACCCCTAGCTCCTATATAAGTAGATCCATCTAGTAGCTTTTTCCTTGGGATTTGTTTAGTTCAAAGTTAGCCAACGCAACTTCGTGTACTTCGTTTGTGTCCAACGACCAGACCAAGACCGCTTTCGGATCCCCACCATTATCAATGCTTCATCCATATACGCAATATTCAGATTGCTTTATCATATTCTTGCTTGTTCTTCGATTGCTTGCATGAATAGACCTTCGTGGTCAGGTTGATCGTGCTCCGGCGTGGTCAATAACCTCTCTGAGTTGATTTAGCGATTGCTAAGGCGCAACGTCGTGCACGTTTGTAGTCGGATCGTCAAAGTCGACTCCACCAAATCAATAGTTATCATCTCATCGAAAGATCAGGACACCCCGCCTCTATCACCTCCTCAAATGCAAAGCGTATGCATAGCATTGCATTTGAAGAAGGGTAATACTAGAAAAAAAATGATAATCCAAATTCGCGTTTTGAGTATAGTCATAGCATGAAGAGTCTTCAAAACCTGTCGAGTCAAGCCGAAGGGGATAACGAAGAAGATGGAGCATCAATAGAAGATACAAGAGAAGACGGGTTGTCAAAAGAAGATGGCACATCAAGAGAATGAAGCATTATGCAGAAAATCGTAGCCCAAGAAAACCGGCGGCGAAAGAAACTTGGCAGCAAGCGAATGGGCATCAACAATGCAAAGTGAGCCACGAAAACTAAAGGACAATGACCAGAAAAAGTTTGACGGACAAAGGCATGGTGGACTGGAAACACGAAAGAGCAACGGACTTGGTGGACGCAGCAGAAAATATAGAAAACTAAAAAGCACATACGCTATGATGCGATAGCAGCAAGAAAATCGTGACGGCAAGGGCCAAAACCAATTAGGAAAGATGCCGACGAGGAACAGCAAAGAAGAGCACACAACACCCATGAATGGTGGATGTGCGAGAAGGGATCCAACATCGTCAAGAGTCAGCGGGCAGCGAGGGAGATGCATACCCGACGAGAACATCATATCTGTTTTTTTTAGATGAGATCAAGACAGCAGCAAAACGGTACAGTAGACCATGGAACGGCAGGTGACAGGAGCACCACGTAGCAGCAGGTACACCCATGCTACTAGCAGGGACACCCGGCGAACATCATCGGACAGCAACAATCAAACAGACGGACCGGCATGGCAGCGAAGAACGGCTAGGCAGGCACATGTCATGGGCGCACGTTACGGGCGTCACCAGCTTCACAGACAGAGCAGCTGGGCGGCAGGTGCCCACACGGCAAGCGCCCATGCAACTTGCGTGGATCACGCGAGCAGGCAGTCAACGCGCCCACGCGGCTGTCACGGGCCGGTCAGATCACGGGGGGTGGTGATATCGTGGAGCAGCAGCGGCCAACCAGATGGGAACGACGGTGGAAGACGAGATCAACCCAGAGGAACAGATCAATCAAGAGGGAAACAAAAAATATATTGGATCATAAGGACGAGTTGCGGCGTCCAGAGACCTAAACCTAGGCTCTAATACCATGTTAAGCTTCATGCACTAGCCAACGCAACCAAAAGTCCCAACTGATGGAAAGGGTTAGGCAATCCACATATACACTTCAACAATCCATGTGAGGTGAGGCCAAAGGAGCCATTCAAATGTGATCTCACGAAGGGCGACAAGGTTGTGTACTCATGGCGCCGGCTACGAAGCAATCTGAATGGACTAATAAGACAAATAGATAAGGGAGAGCAAAGGGAGAGAATGGAAGTGTGGTATAAAGTGTGAAACAGAAAATAATCAGATATAGGGAGGAGACATAATGCATCAGAACACAAGCCAAGTAGGAGCTTCCAGTGGCATGTGCTTTCCTATCAAAAGGCTCACCTCCACCTTGTAAGATCTGTCTTTATTAAAACTTGCTAGCTCTGTAACATGTGCCCTATCTCCAATTTCTTTATCACATGGCTCCTCATACATGCTCATACCACCCTGGGTAGACATCTATTGTCAATATTCTATGGTAACCTAATTAGAGAAAAGAGTACATTTTCAACCATCCACAATTTTCAAAGGAAAATAATTGATACCCCACACCCCCATATTTTGTGATTTCATTAGCTAAAAACTTAAAAAGGCACACATAAAATATGCCTTAAGATAGTGTGATGACAGAGAACCTGGCAAGTACAGTTTACTCTTAGTACAAGATAGCTCAACATTCAAAAAGCAGCAATTGTTCTTAGCGCAAGATTTGTGTATGCGGGGGAAAAAGTGGGGGCACGAAGAGTAACTAAACAGCACAGGAAAGATAAATACTGCCAAGTGAAGGGTACCATTTTTGTCCTGCCTTACTTGATTAGCATCCATAAACAGTAGTAACCTAATTGTATCTGCATTCCCCTTGTAGGCAGCCCTGAATATGACAATTTGTTAGAGAAGATGCAGTTTCATATTGCACAAAAAATCCAAATATCAAGATATGGATCAAGGATCCATTCTATTCGTGTCTTAGAGACAGAAGTCAAGTAGATGATAAATTAACTGATTCTTCAGGATGATAAATGAACCTAGTTATTGGTAACTGATATTGGTAACATCCCTACTCAGCACCTAACCGGGCAGCTATCAGTTACCAATATCCTGAACATTGCATATCTATATCTATATCTATACCTATACCTATACCTATACCTATACCTATACCTATACCTATACCTATACCTATATATATATATATATATACTAATAAAGCACGGAGTGCTTCTGTCCGTTCACCGTCACGCCATTTTACAAAAAAAACTCTCTGTTTTCTGTAAATTAACCCGCAGTACATATTTAAGTCACAGCTGAACCCTTTTTTTGCATTTTCTCAGAAAACCCCCTGACGTTCAGGTAATCAACCCGCCATCCATAATTAAGTCAGACGAATCATTTTTTTCGTTTTAACAGAAAACCCCCTGACATTTCGGTTAATCAATCCGCAGCTTATCTAAAACAAAATTATCCATATCTTTTAAACCGTAACTCCAATTTTAACATGTTATATATGAAATCTGATTAGAAAAATGTGTACAGTCTAAATATGATATTATTTTAGTTGTTAAATAATTCTAAAATATTATTTTTGGTGCAAACTTAATCTATAGTGCACGGTCTGTTTTTCTTTCGTACCGGCGGCGATCCGAGAGAGAGAGAGAGAGAGAGAGAGAGACGCATTAGGACTGACCACATCCAAACGCGTTTTCATTGTGTGAGCACTGAGGCCACCGTCAGCAACACAAATGCGATGCCATGTGAAAATAAAGGGCGTGAACCTATTAGGGTCTTGAGTCATGGTTAGTGGGTTAAGAGTGTGTGTTATTTTCTCTCCCGTTGCAACGCACGGGTTGCTCAGACCTCAATGCAACAAACCATTTTTCAGTAGCATTGTATCAGGTATTCATGGTGGCTATATTACTTGGTACAAGGTACGCAACAAATTTTGAAGTATCAAACAAATCATACAATATGCATTTATGTTGCTGGTGGCAATGCTATGTGAAGCCAGGCAAACATGCATTTAAAAGGTAAGAAGTATTCTTCATATTCATGTACCAGTGCAAAGAGCTCCTCCCTTCATTGTCCAAAGCTTCAAACTCCGCACCATACTTTGAGATGATGTGATGCAAGAATGTTGTTTGGCCATACTGAGCTGCAACATGGACTGCCTAACATAATGTTCCAAAGGAAGAATAGTAAAACACAAGATCTACTCACGCTACCAAAATTCAAACCTACAGTGCATGGACTTAGGATGACTAGCGCCAAACTTATAATCTATTTACTAATGTGAAACTAAGCCGAAAGCTGCATGCTGCTAACAAAAATACCCTATCAAGCCTCGAAAAAATTCCCAAGAAGTTTTTACTCTTTTTATAAGTACGCTGGTCGATTATCCAGTAGCAAAATTCTGTTTTCATAGCAAATTCCCATAGTAGCTCTGCGAGCAATAATGTTAGCTTAGGTCAACGAGTAACATATTTATCCAAATTACAGTGACATAATGAATTCACCAATGGCTGATCCCATCATATAATCAATGTAATATAATTACTTGCTAAACAGAGATAAGCTCAAGATATATGTTATTATCTGCTTAAAAGTTCGAACACTACAAATCATACAGCTGAACTGTCTGATCAAACAATAACCAGCATGCATTCTGCAGTTTTCTATGGACAAACACATCTTTCGAAAACCAACCTACAGCCTTTTGCACAAAGCTATCGGTTTTAAGCTCCTGACCAATCAGTAAATCTGAGAAAAGTTTGAGAACTAAACAGTACCTCAACCAAACCTGCACGAATAAACGTGGCAACCCAAACCAAACTAATCTCAGTTTATATTTATGTCAGCCCAACCAAAACTAAAACCAGCTTGACTTTCCACCCCAATCGAACTGAAACTGAGTGCCTACCTGTGGTTGAAGCCAGTTGCTGGAATGGTTTGAAAACCATTCGAGTAGTAATAATAACCATTGTCCTATGGCACACCCCCGACTCTGCTTCAACTCCCTGATCACCGCCGTCTCCTCCTCACACCCCACCTCCGTCCCCCCCGCCCTCGCGCTCACGCAACGCGGCGCTGCCGCCGCCGGCCGGCTCGACTCCTACGCGCTCTGCTTCGCGCTCCGCCACACCTCTGCGGCCCAAGCGGGTCCCCTACACAAGATTCGGGTGGCTCGGCGGCGTCTTCATGTCCTGCGCGCTCGCCGAGTCCTACGGCAGGTCCGGTCGGTTCCAGGACGCCTGCAGGTTGTTCGACGAAAGCTCCGGAGGCCAGTCTGACAAGCGGCGCGATGACAGTGACCGCAGAGGCGGGGCCGAGGAACCGCACGTGAGCGGCGCTTGACGGTAGCGGCTATGGAGGCCAATCAGGCAAGCCGCGCGCGACGATGGCGGCCACGGAGGCAGGTCCAGAGAGACGCGCGCGAGCGGCGCTCGACAGCAGCGGCCGGGGAGGCAGGTCCAAAGAGCCGCACGTGAGCGGCGCTCGACGGCAGTGGCCATGGAGGCCAGTCCGGCAAGCCGCGCGCGATGGTAGCTCTTGCGAAGGCGGGGCTAGCGAGCTACGCGCAAGCTGCTCCGGCGAAGGCGGGGCCAACGCGCCAAGCGCGAGCGGCAGCTGTTGAGGTCTGATGGGCTCGAGAATTACGAACGGAACCAACGTCAACAACCGGGCATGAACTATGGGTCTAAACTTTTTGGAGCTTGACCTGTTCAGGCCTATAACCAATCATACCCAACCATTTGCAATAAGAAACCAAACTGAACCAAACTCTTTTCAGAGTCAACCTATTAACACCCGAACCAAACGAACCTGTCAGCAGAAACCAAACCAATACACCCGGTTAATCCAAAACTGTTCTCAGATTTACCAATCAGGCACTAAATCATACTCTATTTAGTGTCTGAATTACGAATGATCGGAAGGGAGCCGCGCATTTCTCAGAAACAAAATATCAGACACTAAATCCAACAACACTGCAAAATATCGAAAAAAGAGAATACAAATTCAGAACAAAAAAAAACGATTGCATACCCGGTAGCCGTTCACATCGGCTGCCTCTAGCCTCGCGCCGTTCTCCAGCAGCACATCGGCCGTGGCCGTGGCCCCGCGCACCGCCGCCCAGTGCAGCGCTGTCTGCTGCGAATTGTCTTCTGCGTTCACGTCCCCCCCATGCTGCAAAAGAACAATCAACCACACGCGCGCGCACGAATCCATCAGCAAGGAAGGTGGTCCAAAGCAGCGCCCGATTCGAGGCCGGCGAGTAGTATAAGGCGAACCTCGATGATGTAGAGCGCCACGTGGGGGTAGTTATTGAGCGCGGCCCACTGGAGAGCGTGATAGCCGTTGCCGTCGGGCGCGGCGAGCGACGCGCCGCCGCCGTCAAGCTCCACGAACCGCCGCAGTCGCTCCAGATCCCCGTACGCCGCGGCCGAGTAGACGTTCACCACGGGGTCCGGCTGCTTCTCCCCCTCCGCCGCCTTCCTGGCGCCGCCGTCGGCCACCACAACCTCGATCTCCCGGGCGCGGGATGACGACGACATGGCGCGGGCAGAGGAGCTGAGGGGAAAGCCGGCTAACGACCTCAAAGTCTTAGTCTTACCAACACGCCGATGCGAGAGTCCACAGTGAAACAAAAAAAAAATCAAATAAGATTCACAGGCTCATGGGAGCATCTTGCCCTAAAATAGAGAGCTCTCAGCAAATTATTTAGGGCATCAAAAATGATTTTTAGGCACAGAAAAATTTCAGTATATCTAACCGGCGAACATTACGATCTTAAAGTCGTTGGATCGTGATCAAATGCATGGCATTTATTTAAAAAATATATCGTAAACATGGCAATTTTCACTTCCGCAAATCTCACAAAAATGCATGGTAATTTAGTTATTTGGGCATGGCAACTGCGACAGTCGCTGGCAATTCCTCCCGAGCGAACTTTTTCCGTATAAACAGGTCATTTTCTTCTCCAACAACTGTCCCAAAATAGGCACAGCTGCTCCAACAACAATGCTAAAATAGGGCACCCAAAACACCCAAATTAAACTAGATTATTGCAAATTTGATCCAAACATTTGAAGTTTTAAAGAAGCAAACTTAAACATAAATTGAGTACTAGCATCCAAATTTAAGATAGTTCGACTACAAACATGCAAACTTAAACTACTAACAACTACTCGTTAGTGAGATTGTCCTAGTCAATGGCGTCCTCCTAATCGTCGTCATGAGCATTCCCTATGTCAACATTGTTCCAAAGCTACAAGAACTTCTATGCCTCGCTATCTAGCTGCTCCTCGGCTTCCTCGTCATTGGACACAAGCTTGATCACCGGGGGGCCGCCTCTTCCTCCTTCTTGATCCTGGAGGGGCCAGCCTCGTCCTTCTTCACTGGCTTCTTGCGATGCCACCAGTACTCATACTCCTCATACACAAAGAGCAGATTTTTCACGACGAACCTCGTCATAGCGGTGTCATCCTTCTGAAGGGTGTCGCGTTACTGCAGGACGATACGAGTACCCCTCGTCTCCATGCAGGTCATGATCTCCACATCGGGACTGATGAACTCCGCCATCTCACGGAATTCGCTTTTTGGGAAGTACATCTCCCACTTCGGTCGCCCGAGCCTCCAAGACATGATGTCGAAGGCACGGGCGACAAGCTCCGCCATGCCAAACGTGTCGAGCCAATTGCGTTGACCGGCACGTGAGCTCGGTTGCGTAGTGGCCAGATGCCCGCACCCGAATGTCGCGGAAGCCGGTCTTGTTCCTTGGCTCGCGACGTGGTGGCCTCGTGGTGGAGATCCAGCGGCGAGTGGTGCGATGGTGGGTTGCAGGTGTGGGGGCGAATGAACAAACGGAGGGGCACTAGATCTGTGGCAGGAAGGTGCAATGGTGGCGTATTTGGTGGCGACGGAGGCGTGTGCGACCAGATTTGTAAGGTAGAGGTGGTGGGCTATGGGGTGCTGGTGCCTGGAGAGACGAAGGAGGGTACTAGATCTATGGTGAGGTAGCGCGGTGGTGTCAGTGGTTGCCGAAAGCGGTTGGTGGCGGAGCGGGAGGGGAAGCGCTTGCGCGTGTGGGTACGAGTGGAACTTTCTGGATGGCAGTTGGCGTATGACAAATATACATCACTCGGGACTATTTTGGGGATGCCTCAAAATGGGACCACACAGAATTATGTATTAGGCCATTACTGAAGCAAGTTTTTTTGCCACAAATGCCTTAAAAGGCAGTTTTTTGGGCAGCTGCCTTATTATAGGCCTGCTGTTGGAGAGCATCTCCATGCAAAATAGGCAGATGCCAAAAAAACATTTTTCTAAGGAATTTGAACCCAAAAACGATGCCCCAGCCGTTGACCCATCCTTATATGATGCTGCAAATTCTTTTGGGCGCCCCAATTTTTTTTCCTCTCGTGCTGTAAATTTTTTGTACATGCATGCTGCAAATAAGAAATGAAGTCGCGTGTAACCCAACCGCCTGCAAAAAACTTCATGCGGTCAACTGATACATCTCCGACGCACCTATATTTTCTGATTGTTCAATGCTATTATATTATCAATCTTGGATGCTTTATATGCCTTTCTATGCTACTTTATATCATTTTTGGTACTAACATATTAACTTAGTGCTCGGTGTCAGTTCCAGTTTTTTTCTTGTTGTTGGCTTTCCAAAAAATCAATATCAAACAAAGTCCAAACACGATTAAACTTTACGATGATTTTTTCTGGACCAGAAGGGACCCTAGAAGGTTTGGGAGGAGGCCAGAAGACTTACATGAGAGCCACGAGCTCAAAGGGCACGCCCTAGGGGGTGGGGCGCACCCACTGAGCTCGTGACTCCCACACAACTCCATTTGACCTAACTCCGCCTCTATAAATTCATGAATATTCAAAACAACAGAGAGCTCCTCGAAACACTTTTTTTTCACCAGCTGCAAGCTTCTGTTCTTCCGCGATCCCATCTGGAGGCCTTTTTCGGTACTCTGCAAGAGGAGGAATTGAGCATGGAGGGCTTCTACATCATCCTTGCTGCCTCTGATGATGCGTGAGTAGTTTACCATAGACCTACGGGTCCATAGGTAGTAGCTAGATGGTTTCTTCTCCCTCTTTGATCTTCAATACCATGTTCTCATCGATCTTCTTGGAGTTCTATCCGATGTAATCTTCTTTTGCAGTGTGTTTGTTGGGATCCGATGAATTGTGGGTTTATGATCAGATTATTCATTGAAAGTAATTGAGTCTCTTCTGAACTTTATTATGCAAGATTGTTATAGCTTTGTATTTCTCTCCAATCTATCTGTTTGGTTTGGCCAACTAGACTGATTTATCTTCAGTGGGAGAGGTGCTTTGTGATTGGTTCAATCTTGCGGTGTCCTCGCCTAGTGACAGAAGGGGTAGCAAGGAACATATTGTATGCCATTAAGGGTAAAACGATAGGGTTTATTCATATTGCTTGAGTCTATTCTGCCCACATCATGCCATCTTGCTTAAGACGTTACTTTGTTTGTCATGAACTTAATACGATAGATGCATGCTGGATAGTGGTTGATTGGTGGAGTAATAGTAGTAGATGCAAGTAGGAGTCGGTCTACTTTGTTATGGATGTGATGCATATATACATAATCATTGTCATGAATACGTCATGACTATGCACTCTTCTATCAATTGCCCAACAGTAATTTGTCTACCCACCATATGCTATTGTTTCGAGAGAGAAGCCTCTAGTGAAAACTATGGCCCTCGGGTCTACATTAATCATATTATAAAAAACAAAATACATTACTGCAATTTTATTCTTTTTGTTTTGTTTTGCAATTTATCTATCTACCACTACAAGATTTGATCCTTGCAAGTAATGAGTTCAAGGGGATTGACAACCCTCTTGCCCACGTTGGGTGCAAGTATTTGCCTTTGTGCGTGCAGGTGCTGTTCACTAGGATTTGCGTGGTTCTGCTTTTGGTTCGATAAACATTGGTTCTCATTGAGGGAAATACTTATCAGCTACTATATTGCTTCACCCTTCCTCTTCGGGGAAAATCCCAACGCGGCTCACAAGTACCAGAAAAGAATTTCTGGCGCCTTTGCCAGGGAGACATCATCAAATCACTATGAGTACCTTATCAAACTATCATCTACTTGCTCTACTTTTTATTTGCCTTTTTATTGGCCTCTCTTTTTCATTTCCATCTACTTCTCTAAAAAACGAAAAACACAAAAAGAAATACTTTGTTTGCTTGCTTGTTTTGCTTGAAATTGCTATCATGTCTGAGTTTGAAAAAATTAGTGATGCTCTTGCCACTAGTGAGGAACCTTTTGATCATCAAGCTTTGCTATTAAATCTCATGAAAAATGAAAAAACTAAAAGAAGCTTTGATGGAGTTGCTAAAGAAACAATAGATAATCTTGCCGATGATGATCCTAATAAAGAAGAGCCTACTATCATGCATACAAAAAAGTTCTGTGTAGGTTGTGGTAATATTGTTTGAAAAAGTGTTATCCAAGATTTTTTTACTTGTGCTGGCTCGATACCTATGATAGGAGGATCAATTCTTACTAGAACTAATAGTCTTGCGGATGCCATATCTTTGCTTATAGTTGAATTGAAGAGACAATTTGTGCACATGCATACAATGGTTGTTTCTAGAATTTTCCAATATTCATGATCTACTAAGCGTTTAGCTATTATATTTCTAGTTCATGAATTTTGCCACGTTATGAGAGAGGCAAGAGAAATATCTGCTCACCATAGAATAAATAGTGAGTGTCCTCCTATAGAAGAAATTCTTTATGATCAAGAGGAGATAAGGAAATTAAAATCAATAGATTGTGCTTCTTATGATGAGAATCTTAGAAAAAAGGTTCCCCCAATTGTTTTGGTTGATAAAATTTCTGAACATAATGATCAATATGTTATAGGAAATATTGGATTGGGTTGTGTGATTAAGGAAAAGTGTATGGAATACCTCTATCGAAACTTGTATAATAAAGAAATAACTATCACTTATAAGGGGCCTAAAGAGGAGCATCCTCCTCCTAAACTTGATCTCATAGATTCTTATCCTATAAAATTTAGCCCCTTCAATTATTTTTGCTTACCAATTAGAAAGCCTGCTACTGAAAGAAGGGAGTATGAGCTGAATATGGATGATCCCGTATTATTCCCATGGCAATACTTGAAACAATGCCTTATGCAAGCTAATGGTGTAAAACAATAGCGCTTGTTGGGAGGCAACCCAATAGTTAGCTTAAATTTTTACTTCTACTTTCTATTATGGTGTGTTGACACAATTATTTCTACTGTTATGATTGTGTTTTTATATTTTAATTAGTGTTTGTGCCAAGTAAAGCTTTGGGATGATTTGGTTGACAGTTGACTTGATTTTGTGAAAAAACTGAACTTTTGCGACAAGAGCTGGAATTACTATAATTCACTGGAACGTGATAAAATTATGAAATTTTTGCAAATGATTGATATACAAACTGCCCATGATTTCCTAATTTTTCATATTTTTTGGATTAACAGAAGTATAGTTTTTGTTCAGAACAT